CCGGTAACGTTTGGTCGCCATCTGTTGTTATATTTTATTTTAAAAATTTTTTATATTTAACTATTATAAAATGGCAAAAAGCTTAATTTGAGNCAACTGAATAATAGATTATTATAGTTCACTTTATCATAATTATTTTATGTTATGTTTTTAAAGTAATTAAAGCTTCTGTAATACATTAAATTTCTAGATAAATTTAGATATTATGAAAGAGACCAATTAGTTTTTAGAGAATCGATTAAAGTAATTTTTCTAAGATTGAAGTTTTTGAAAATTCGCAAATTTTTGCAAATGGAAAATTGTAAATAAAACTGATTTATGCAGTTTTATTTACAATTTTATTCTACATTTTATATTTCATTCATAAAGTTTGGATAAATTTGAGCAGAATTCCAAAGATTTAACTGAGCTAAAGCATTGAAGAAATAAAAATGCAACTAATAAAAATTATATGCCTATATATGAGGATATAGTAAGACATTTTAAAATTTATTTATCGCAAATATAAAATACAGTAAAGATTAAGTGATAAGTAAAAAAATTTTTAGCTGTGAAATTAAAAAAAATTTTAAATGTGTTTGTATACAACACAATCGAGGCTGATATAGGAACACATCTCGGATAAGAAATTATTTTAATCATGTTATCTTCTTATTTGAAAATTTAAAGATTGATTTTAGTTATAGCCTACTACGCTATAATATGTCTTTTAATTAATAATGATAAGAGAAAAAACTTTTATTAAAATTAAATACTGACTTTTAAGGTGAAATTTTCAAAATTCACGACAGTTAACGCAGTAGATTTTTTAGGATTCGATATTGTGATAATATAATCTACTTCGTAATGATTTGAACTTGCACTTCTGTTGAGTTTGCTTATATTTCTATAATGCATTCGATTGTATGTGGAAAATACTTCACTAGATAAAGTATTAATTAGCAATGCGGTCTGTATGTAAAGAATTTCATAAAAACAGGTAGTGCATTTTCAGTAGCATTGACAAAAACCTAGTGTCGAGCACTAAACACTAATTTGCACCTCACCAACAAGAATGGCAAGTGGAGTTTCTGTATTTTCTTCATGTGTAAAAAGAAGTTTGTTTCTCATAGAAAGTTTTCTTGTTAGGCTCCTCCCATTAGTAAATAATCCTAGTGTTGCGTTGCCTTATTCCATCAATCTATTCAGTGTCGCGAGTGACATAAAATACAAAACATTTAAACTGCATGAAACAAATGTAAAAACAAACATAAAAGCACCGTACTTAAAAACATATTCCACATTCTAAATTACATAATCGAAAAAAATAATTAGAAATTCTTGTAAAAATAGTATTTTTGTTGCTTTGAAATAAAATATGCATTTAGTTTTTATTTTTAATTATGTTTTTAAGACTCAACTTAAACAAATGTTTTCTACAAAAGTTGAAATAAAAATAATCGTAAAATATATATGTGATATTATATATATATATATTTTGCAATTCGACGTATATGATATATAGGCCTAATATATATAAATTGAATTATTGATTAAATTGGCTTTTCCAAACTTTCCGTTCAATAAACGTTGCGAGTATCTATTGATGAATTTGCAGTATAGAAAATCGAAAAGATTTGGTATATCTCATAGCCTATAATTAAAGACGGCCAAATGACCAAACGGTCGAGGTGCTAAACTACCGCTCTAACGCTTTGGGGGACCCGGAATCGATCCGCCAGGATTCGATGGTCCGTCTGGTTATGTCTGGTTCCCATCTCTCACCACCCGGCCGTCCCATTGTGGGCCTGACCAAGCCCATAATGGGCTTGCTAATAGAGGTCCTCTTATTGCCCACAGGGCGGAAAGAGTTTTAAAACTATAATTAGAAAGAAAATTCTGTTTTCCAGAAACTTCATACTAGCAAAAAACCTATTTATGTCTCTGTCTTTTTAATTCTATTTTGAACTATTATCGTCTATTATATTATCTCCGGTTGATTACATCAGTACAATAAGTCCTAGTACACGACAATAGCTCAGAACACATTTTATTGAATATATTCGATTATTTTCTCTATACAGATCGCATATAAATAAAAACTAGTAAACATTTTTTTTTTTTATTGTGTAATAGCATTGTACTGAATCCAAGTTTGGAGTTGGGTTGAATTTTTTTTTAATGTAATAAATAGTATTTCTCATTTAAAAAATATAATTTTATAATAGGCTTACAACATTGAATTGGAAAAATTACTCTGTATCATTACGCATTTATACACTGTTGAGTAATCTTAGTGAATATATTCTATTCTCATTTATCCTTTTTATAATCTATTTACTTGGAGCAACAATCCAAACATTGAAATTTAAGGTTTAAATTTATTACGAATATTTATCACATATTCTCCAGTTTTAAGATCTGAATTGTGTTTCGGATTAATTATTCATTTGAAATGATGTAAACGAAATCTAAAAGAATTTCATTACGGACATATGAGGCGTAATAATTTTTCAATTCGGCCGAATGGCCGCAGCTGCTTAACCTCAGTTTAGTTTTTGACTACTCTGGGCTACAAGTTTGCAGCGATCTGTCTTTTCAAGAGTGTTGGTAGTATATGGGAGTCTTTTACTCCTCAACTAATGATGAGGCGATTGTCTCTATAAGTACTGTATTCAGATGAGCGTGGTGTCGGATAAGTTGTTGTCCCTCTATTAACTTCTAGAGGAATTCCTTTGGACCTTTTAATCCTCAGCATAATATCGAAGTTGCTGAAGCAAAATTTTTAGTCCCAGGTTATAAAAAAAAGCATTAAAAATTGTTTGAATCTTTTTAAATAATAGCTTTTTTTGTCGGAGTTTATTTTTTCTTAATACACAAGAAATGCTATGAAATGAATAACGTGTTACGATATTTTTGAGGCTCTTGTAAATGTGAGGATTGGGCCAAATGTCCTTACTGATCCCTTATCTTTAGTGCTGAGGGCACAATTCTCAATATTTTCTTAAATTATTGTAATAATTTTCGAAATGGAATATTCATCATATCATATACAGTATATCTGAAATCTAAAAACTATAAGATAAAAATCAGTAATATATGCATTATAAGTTTTGTTCCGAAATATATATATATATATATTTTCCTGGGAAAAAACTCAATGCATGCCAGATTTACCAGGCTATTTTGATCAGTATATATAAAAGATTGGGACAATGCCCTGACACGTACTGTTTGTGATAAATGATGGGATTTCGATCGGATTCAAAACTGGGCCATTATGGCATAGATTGATAACTTACTGTGCAGTCGTCTGAAAATAGTGTATATATGTAATTAACAGTGGCGTGCTGTCATTGGAAGCGCCGCTTCCCTTGTATTTTCTAAAATATAAATACATATTGTGCGATTATTTTCTTATTTTAACGTACTTTGAATTATTTAAAATTAATATTTTAGCATAACCGCATTATGTATTTTATTACAAAATTCTATACACGTGAAAAACAACGATAAGATTGCTATTGTATATTTGAATATAAATTCGTGTATGAATATTCCCAATGGAAGCGCCGTATTGTCGAATACAAGACAGTTTCCACGGCGAAAATATAAAGTAGCCTTTATTAGTTAAAAAAAAAAAGAAAAAAAATTCGTTTGTAGTTGAACACTCATTGTTTATATCAAACTGCGACGCAGAAACCATAAATCGCGGAAGGAAGTCGTCCTATAATCGGTGGAAGATCGAATTCATCTTCGATTTTGACCTTTCTCGCGCTAAATTGTCCTAGGAATCTCGTTACACTTAGTAACGAGGGACCAGGCACTCGGGAAGCGTGGTTGAGGGAGAACGACCAATCAAAATGGCCAAAAGAAAGAACCGAGATTGATATAATCCCCGACAATCAAGGACACCTGGTACTCCATTAACGTTAGTTCCCAATAACCAAAACACCGTGTGTCGACGCGCAAAAAAAGCAGTTTCTCGTCTATTTTTCAAATCTGTAACCCGTTCCACTTCGGACTTAGACCGTGTCGTCGACCCCAGCAGACGATATCTCCCCACCTGCCTTACAGACTTGTCAACGCCACTGTCCCGGAGCCACCTTCTATCGACGATCAAAGAACCACATCGACCCCCAGAATGTCCGAACAGCTGATTGTCCTAAATTGTCCTATTTTGTACATAGTGTAAGTTTATTTTATGTTAAAATAAACGGTTTTTGTTTCTTGTCGTATTTGACTCCTCCGCCACCATGCACGTATGAATGGCCCTTCTTTCTGCTTTGTCGGTAGATGCTGGTTTATATGGAGTCTTAAGGCTATACACCTTTACTCCGAGAGACTTGTAGGTGATCGCTATGCGACCGAAGAGCCGGCCTTATAGAATGGCCTAATCGCGCGCGGGGAAAGAATGCCTTCCGGGGAGACTTTTATGGAAAACTGGCCCCTATTCAGGCGTTATCGACATGGAGAAAACCCGGAAAACTCCATGCTGCCAGCCTGTCCGAGCGAGGCCTGAAACCACGACCGAACTCTCAGTGTTCAGGGTCTAGTCCACTCAAATGCGGGGACGAAGATGGTGGGCCAATGGACCCTAGACCATCACTGACACGCAATTATCTGATTTCCCCCTGGAAGTCGGCATCTTACAAAAACTCAGTTCCCTATCATCAAATGTGACAGCACGCCACTAGTAATTAATATTAAGCAGCCCGAGAAACTTAAGAATTTACTATGAGAGTAGTGTAAAATATATATATATATATATATCATTGTCACGTTGTTTATTAATTTATATCATATATTTAATTTTATAAAAATTTTTGCGCCTTTTCAATTAAAAACTTTTTGCCTAGAGACAAAAACTGAATTCAAGTATTGAATCTTTGAATATCAAATTTAAATTTTTTTATCAATGGGCAAAGCAGAACTTAAAATATTATTCATGTCTGAAAATCAACTTTATGGAAATAAATATATATTTAAACAAAAAAATATAAATTTAAAAGTTTATTCTCTGTTAAACGATCAATTTGCGATTTTCATTTCTAAACTACACATTCTAGCTGTGAAATCTTCAAAAGCTGATTCACAACTTGTAAAATCATTATAATCTTCGTTTCTCAATTGTTGATGAGCTTCGTTTATGTCATTAACATTTACAGATATATTTTCAACATGTTCTGATAATAAATTTAATCTTCTTATTGTTTTATTTCTGAATTCTTTAATCTTTTCCAATTTCTTCCAAATTTCTTTCCTAAAAGAATTTTTCAAGAATAAATTAATTAACACGCATTTAAAATCGCTTAAAATTTTATTCAATTTTCGAAGATACACGTAAACATTGTTACTTTTCATTTTCCTTTTCAGCTGCTTTCAACATCGCTTTATCGTTAATATCTTCAAAACACTTTTTAATTTTAAATTTCAACTGAATAAAAATATTTACATTATTAAATGAAATTTTAAAATTTACAATAAAATATCTAAAAATTTATTCTAATTATTATTAAAAATCTTTGCTGGACTATACGCAATGGGTTTTTTGTTATATCTATCTTCACATACAGTAAATGGAATATTCCAAATTTATACTATTCACATAATAAATATAAATATGTTTTGTTATTTTAACTACCGGTATTTATGAATGCCTATTTGCACAATAAATGTTATTTGACATTTATAAATGAATTATTTTTAAAATAAAAATTTACATAAATTTAAATATTTTCAATATTTTATAATAATAATAATAATATATTAAATTTACACTTCTAATTCTATAAAATTCCTTTTAGTTTCTACATCAGTTGGAAACGAAATTATTTCTATAGAATAATTAGAGAAAATAAAAATAAAAATCTGAAAAAATTCTACAGGAATTTTTCCATAATACATATTATAAAATCTCATACATTTTCATGAAACGAAATATAATGGCAAAATTTGTAAAATGAAAACGCTAATGTATTATATTATTATATTATGTCTTAACGTATTAATTAATGATTATATAACAACAACAACAGCAAACAAACAATCAAACAAATAATAAACTTTGCCCTGAATTCACAGTATAACAGGATCGATTTCCTTTCCTCATTTTGAAAGAAGCTTGGACTGCTACAGGTTAAACCCATCATACTCAACCTGCGGCCCGCGGACTTTTGTGAGTGGCCCGCGAGCTTTTGTGAGTGGCCCCGAAGTGAAAGAGAGCGGAAAATAATTACGTTGACTTCTGGAAATAATTACCACTTCTGGAAAGTAGTGCCCGATCAATATAAGACTGTAAAAAATGTGCTCAAAATTTACTTACGTTGTTCGCATCAACGTATCTATGTGAAACGTCATACTCAAAAATGAAATATGCAAAGAACATATATAGAAACTGGCTTACTGATTCACACCTGGATGCTGTTTTACGAGTAGCATGAATCAGTTACAAACCTGATTTAAATGAATTGACAGCCGAGCAGTCAAGGTGGCAGTCTACCGCTCTGGATCGAATCCGGTCGGGTCAGGGAATCCCCCAGGAATTTTTCGGGGAGTGGTCCGTTCGGATATGTCGGGCCTCGTCCCTCACCACCCGGTCGCACCATTGTGGACCTGGCCTAACCCAGACCCACAACGGTGCCTGCTATAGGGGCCTGCTATAATGCTGCCTGCTATGGACCTGCTATAAAAGGCCCTCTTAGTGCCCACAGGGCGGAAAGAGTGTTAAAAAAAATTTAAATGAAATTGTGAAAAAATGTTCGCAATATCAACAGTCACACTAAATTTCTGGGGTAAGTGAGAAATTAAGTAAGTTTTTTATTATACTGTAATTGTTATGTTGCGGCCCGCGTGTAATAGCTATCATGTGTATGTGGCCCGAGAGAAAAAAAGGTTGAGTATGGTGGGGTTAAACGAACAATTGAAGAAGAAAAGAGAACCTTACAGAAATATATAAAGAAAAGTAAAAAGGGAATGGTAAAAGAAGCTAAGAGTCCGAATTGCAGAAAACCGAAGAAACAAAGGAAGCATACCGAAAAGAGCACTTAACAAGGTAACAGTGAAACTGGCCTTCGAGTAGTTTATTTCCCTCCAAAACTAGTATCTTAAGAATATCAAACAAAGAGTAGAAAGTAGGAGAAATGAAAGTAGCTAAGATAATGAACATTAAATGTCACCCGTGAAAAGTGAGTGAGAAGACTGTCGAACTGCACAAGAAAATTACACAAATATACTGTCTCGAATGGTATAACAAAACAGCAGCACTAATTCACTGAAATCTTTTCATAAAGTATGGATTCAGTATAGCAAGACTTGATATAATCACAGAATAACATAGAAGTGAAAAAACTGTTGAAAAATACTCTGGGATTTTCCAACACAGACGGGTAAACATCTCAATCACTTTAGAATAAGATCTTATTCTAAGGTTTTTACCCTACTGCCCAAATATAGGTTTTATTTTGGTCAAGCCGATATATCCTAGCATTAATTAGAGAAAATAATTAAAAGACATAAATGGAAAATAAGGATAATAACAGAAATATTATATCTATATAATTATTTATTAATTTCAATCACCATTTAATCTTAATTGTTAAACATGCGCACTGTATGCCTGCATGTAATGCAATTTACTATACAATACATGCGCTATGGTTGTGGATTATAGTTTAAATGATAATATTGATATTTTTTAACTCTTTTCGCATATTTTAGCAATCCCATTGTGAGTTCGGCCAGGCCCACACTGGAGCGACCGGGTGGTAAGTGAAGGAGACGACATATCTGGTCGGACCATACTCGAAACATTCTGGGAATTTTCGACCCGTCTGGATTCGATGATATTGGTATTGTATAAAAACTATCTATTGTGTTTATTGAATACAAATACTACCAACATTCTCTTTTTTATGAGCCGAATAAAATACAGGTATACCTCGCCTTACGTCGGTAATTGGTTCCAGGAAAACGACGTAAGTCGAGAAACGACGTAAGTCGAATTTACTTGTCTCCGAATCTACTTATCACTAGGCTAAACCGTAAATTACCATTCCCGGTTCTGTATTTTATTTATTAATGCATTTTTAATAATATATGGTTAATAAAAATCTATTTTAAGCTTATAAAAATCTATTTTAAGCTTATATATGGTTAATAAAAATCTATTTTAAGCTTATGGTTAATAAAAATCTATTTTAAGCTTATCTATTTTAAGCTTTTTTCTGTACTCTATTAAAAACTAAAATAAATTTTAGTTTTTAATAGAGTACAGAAAAAAGTAATCTAAATTTACGAATGCATGTACTGTACTGTAAATACAGTACATACTTGTAAATGTGTATATTTTAATATGATTTTATGTGCTTTAAACGTTTATCTAGTGATATTACGACTTCAATATTTGTGGCAGACAGACGTAAAGTCGAATAAAATGACTTAAACTTGATTTTTATTTTTCCATATACTTTTTTAACAAGCGACGTATAATCGGGAACGACGTAACTCGAAACGACTTAAGTCGAGGTATGCCTGTATATACTATTAAAACCGGAATCGCACGGAACCGAATATTTTTTCTGGTTTGACAAGTTTCCATTGTGAACAGATTCTTTTTTAACAGAAAATCACTTCGTTCCGAAGAATTTTTTCCGTTTAGGTTAGTTTACTTTATATTTAGTATACTTTTTATTAAACGCTATAGACAGGTTTTACCGTAGACTATGTAATTTAGGTAAATATTTGAACTTTAACCTAATCGGAAGAAAGACATACTAAAAAACCTAGAATCCGGCAATTAATTACTGCACAAATATGTGATTCCGATTGCACAATTCAAAATTTTCATTACACATTTTGTGTCCAATTGCACGTTAGAATATACACTGCTGCACTGTATTAGATGTTATATTAATAGAAAAAATAGTATGGGTACTAAACGTCTGGGAATACATCTGAAAATCCCAGAGTCCTGGGAGAGATGTTTAGAGATTAAATCCTACCAATAATTCATGAGGCTGTATAAGTGGATACTGAAAAACTTGATAAATACTCAGAACTTGCTTACGAATTAAAGTATCTGTGGAGAATGAATAATATACATATTGTGCAAATAGTCCTTTCTTTCACAGGTGTCATATCACTTATACTATACGAAAATCTTAAACCATTAGAGTTTCTCAACAGCACATACATCACACTACAGAAGGCTGCCGTACTATACACATGTTACGCATGTTAAAAACTGCGTAAAAATTCTTAAACACTGGTACTTATATGAATAGCACGTAAACAGTGTTCTGCAGTTATGTCTTGACTCCAGTTCGACATAGCGCTAACTACTTGAATACTCCTATATGCCATGTATGAAGAAGCGTTTTTAGCATTTGCCGCTGTAGACAGATAAATTTTGCCGTCCTTATTTGTAGTAGGAGGTTTAAGATAAAACATTATATATGTTAATTTCATTAAGTTACAAAAGTATTTCTCCTCTAAATACTTATTTTTAAAAAATGATATTGCTTTTATATATTAACATATTAACAGACAGATCATGTAATTAGAATGCACTTATAAAAATTTGCCTCCGTAGGCACATGCCTACTTTGTCTAGTAATAAAAACGTTTCTTCAATAACGCCTTGGCCACCAGTGACCAAGCGGTTCCGTTCCCTAAACACTGGGAGTTCGGTCGTTATTGGCGCCTCGCTCGGACGGGCTGGCCACGTGGAGTTTTCCGGGTTTTCTCCACGTCTGTAACGCCTAAATAGGGGCAGTTACCCTTATAAAGACCTCCCGGACGGCATAACCCCACCGCCCAAGAGTGGAGTTGCTGTAACTTAATATATAACAAATAACGCCATAATAATGCATAATAATTATAATAAAGCACCCTAGATGAGAATAAACCCATTTAAATTATCTTCAAATAACGAAAAATAATTTTCAAAAATTATTAAAACCAAAGATTATGGATGGATAGATTGCGATACGACTCCTAAAGTAGGTACTGTGTATTGCTAAGAGAAGTAAATCAAAAATAAAATTGTTAAAAGTTCCAGATTTCAGAATCGAATCTTAAAAATCAAATTTATTTCATTTTATGAAAGTTATAAAATGCTTTTACTTATGCAAGCAATTTTTATTTATTAAATAGTTGTAAAAATAATTGATTGTAATTATTATCTCTACGTTAATTAAAAGGTACTTGAGATGCAATACGAACCTTAAGATCATCTAAATCAAATGAGAAAAATCACTTATTTTTTAAAATGAAATTAACGTTTTCCCACGGTTGAGAATTACAGTAAAAATAAAAGTTACCAGTTTATCTGCTTTTTTCATATCGTTTATCATCTCATCAATTGCCATCATATCTTCCACAGAATTCAAATCAATATATATTTTTGAAATGTCGCCACTATATTTACTTATTATCTGAAAATAAATTATCATTAACAAAATTAAATTACTAATGTTTATTACAAAAATAACAATAAATTTTGTCTTCTTACATTTTCTAAACTTTTGTTAAAATCTCTTGAAATTTTATTTTGATAATTTTGAATATCTTTTACAGAATCTTTGAATTTTTCAGTTTCATTTGCTATATAAAACTCTTTCACGTAATAATACTAAAAGAATAAATAATAATAATTTATAACTGAAATATTAATTCAATTTATTATTAGGCATTGTAATTAGTTTAGTTCTTTACACTTAAACTATGATTATATTAATTATACACTACATTGGATAATTTTAAAAACAATAGACTATCACGATTCTTAATAATGTGCATTAGACGGCCAAATAGCTAAAACAAGGGCGTCTTACTACTTTGGAGGACTCCAGTTCGAACCCCAGAGCTCTTAACCGTCCTTTTTGCACGGATAGCTTTTTGCTGCAATAAAATGTTTACAAGGAACACTGAGAACGACTGCTTAAGTTACTTTTCTCAAATTTCTGTCTGGCAAGGAAGATGACAAAACTGATAGTTTTGAAAATTGTTCTCCAAAAGATGGTAGATTATAATTGACAACAGAGATTTTCCAGATTACGCAAAACAAATTGTTATGGTTATGCCATAAATTAATTCTTGAGAGGAGAGGGTTTTAAGCATTACAAAGAAAGACAAAACCGATGTCACAAATTGTTTGCAGAACGATGGAACCAGCTCCGTAACTAGTCTTTTATGCGCCCAGTGCGAGCTTCTGTAACTACGCCCCAAAACTATGACCCGAAACTTCGTCCAGGTCATTTCTGCGCCCTGTGCCTGGGCACCGCTGGCACCGCCCTAGTTACGGCATTGGATGGGACTATCTTCTCTGATTACTTCTATATCGCAGCGGTTTTCAAGCAACACTAAATGCTATGAATTACATTCTGATCTCTTGAAGAAAGCTAAGGCTGCCACTAGAAGTTATAATGACTGCCATTGTAAAAAGTAATATTTTTCAATCGAAAACATACCTGGACTTTTGTAAATATAATGTACCATACCTATATTGTAAATTCATTCCAGTCAGAATAAAAAGTTCTCAATGTTCTATACCAGTAATTCCCATACTGTTTTTTCACGATCCCACTTTCAAATTTTCGCGACTCAACATTAAATCTATACACAATAGAACTTGTTTGTTAAAGTTTTTACTTTTCCTGCTCTGTTATATATAACAGAGAAAAAGTATCACGATTGATCAAAAATGACCCCCCAAGATTTTTATATTTTTGGACTCGGGATCTTGAAACGTCAAGAAATGTAAAACAAATTTGAGTGTTTTTTTCTGTATGTATAGATATTTGTGTGTGGAGGTGCCACGATTTTGAAGTTTAATAACTCCTGTGCTTTTTGTCGAAAATTTCTGAAATTTTGTAAAGAGGTTTGTGCATTAGGAGCCATTGATGCTATTAAATTTTGGTGGCTAAAGCTAAGGGGTAGGAGTTGGGGAAATAAAGGGGATTGAGTGTCATATCTCGAGTAGGTTCGAACTTAATGACGATTTTACTCGTTATTAGCATTTACAATTTTTATAAAACCCATCCTTACCCCCAAAATTAACTTTCTTGTCATTTTATAATAATTAAAAATATAAAAAGTTTTAAAAATAAAATATTATAACAGGTGGCGCCACACATGCAGNTATGAGGCGTAATAATTTTTCAATTCGGCCGAATGGCCGCAGCTGCTTAACCTCAGTTTAGTTTTTGACTACTCTGGGCTACAAGTTTGCAGCGATCTGTCTTTTCAAGAGTGTTGGTAGTATATGGGAGTCTTTTACTCCTCAACTAATGATGAGGCGATTGTCTCTATAAGTACTGTATTCAGATGAGCGTGATGTCGGATAAGTTGTTGTCCCTCTATTAACTTCTAGAGGAATTCCTTTGGACCTTTTAATCCTCAGCATAATATCGAAGTTGCTGAAGCAAAATTTTTAGTCCCAGGTTATAAAAAAAAGCATTAAAAATTGTTTGAATCTTTTTAAATAATAGCTTTTTTTGTCGGAGTTTATTTTTTCTTAATACACAAGAAATGCTATGAAATGAATAACGTGTTACGATATTTTTGAGGCTCTTGTAAATGTGAGGATTGGGCCAAATGTCCTTACTGATCCCTTATCTTTAGTGCTGAGGGCACAATTCTCAATATTTTCTTAAATTATTGTAATAATTTTCGAAATGGAATATTCATCATATCATATACAGTATATCTGAAATCTAAAAACTATAAGATAAAAATCAGTAATATATGCATTATAAGTTTTGTTCCGAAATATATATATATATATATTTTCCTGGGAAAAAACTCAATGCATGCCAGATTTACCAGGCTATTTTGATCAGTATATATAAAAGATTGGGACAATGCCCTGACACGTACTGTTTGTGATAAATGATGGGATTTCGATCGGATTCAAAACTGGGCCATTATGGCATAGATTGATAACTTACTGTGCAGTCGTCTGAAAATAGTGTATATATGTAATTAACAGTGGCGTGCTGTCATTGGAAGCGCCGCTTCCCTTGTATTTTCTAAAATATAAATACATATTGTGCGATTATTTTCTTATTTTAACGTACTTTGAATTATTTAAAATTAATATTTTAGCATAACCGCATTATGTATTTTATTACAAAATTCTATACACGTGAAAAACAACGATAAGATTGCTATTGTATATTTGAATATAAATTCGTGTATGAATATTCCCAATGGAAGCGCCGTATTGTCGAATACAAGACAGTTTCCACGGCGAAAATATAAAGTAGCCTTTATTAGTTAAAAAAAAAAAGAAAAAAAATTCGTTTGTAGTTGAACACTCATTGTTTATATCAAACTGCGACGCAGAAACCATAAATCGCGGAAGGAAGTCGTCCTATAATCGGTGGAAGATCGAATTCATCTTCGATTTTGACCTTTCTCGCGCTAAATTGTCCTAGGAATCTCGTTACACTTAGTAACGAGGGACCAGGCACTCGGGAAGCGTGGTTGAGGGAGAACGACCAATCAAAATGGCCAAAAGAAAGAACCGAGATTGATATAATCCCCGACAATCAAGGACACCTGGTACTCCATTAACGTTAGTTCCCAATAACCAAAACACCGTGTGTCGACGCGCAAAAAAAGCAGTTTCTCGTCTATTTTTCAAATCTGTAACCCGTTCCACTTCGGACTTAGACCGTGTCGTCGACCCCAGCAGACGATATCTCCCCACCTGCCTTACAGACTTGTCAACGCCACTGTCCCGGAGCCACCTTCTATCGACGATCAAAGAACCACATCGACCCCCAGAATGTCCGAACAGCTGATTGTCCTAAATTGTCCTATTTTGTACATAGTGTAAGTTTATTTTATGTTAAAATAAACGGTTTTTGTTTCTTGTCGTATTTGACTCCTCCGCCACCATGCACGTATGAATGGCCCTTCTTTCTGCTTTGTCGGTAGATGCTGGTTTATATGGAGTCTTAAGGCTATACACCTTTACTCCGAGAGACTTGTAGGTGATCGCTATGCGACCGAAGAGCCGGCCTTATAGAATGGCCTAATCGCGCGCGGGGAAAGAATGCCTTCCGGGGAGACTTTTATGGAAAACTGGCCCCTATTCAGGCGTTATCGACATGGAGAAAACCCGGAAAACTCCATGCTGCCAGCCTGTCCGAGCGAGGCCTGAAACCACGACCGAACTCTCAGTGTTCAGGGTCTAGTCCACTCAAATGCGGGGACGAAGATGGTGGGCCAATGGACCCTAGACCATCACTGACACGCAATTATCTGATTTCCCCCTGGAAGTCGGCATCTTACAAAAACTCAGTTCCCTATCATCAAATGTGACAGCACGCCACTAGTAATTAATATTAAGCAGCCCGAGAAACTTAAGAATTTACTATGAGAGTAGTGTAAAATATATATATATATATATATCATTGTCACGTTGTTTATTAATTTATATCATATATTTAATTTTATAAAAATTTTTGCGCCTTTTCAATTAAAAACTTTTTGCCTAGAGACAAAAACTGAATTCAAGTATTGAATCTTTGAATATCAAATTTAAATTTTTTTATCAATGGGCAAAGCAGAACTTAAAATATTATTCATGTCTGAAAATCAACTTTATGGAAATAAATATATATTTAAACAAAAAAATATAAATTTAAAAGTTTATTCTCTGTTAAACGATCAATTTGCGATTTTCATTTCTAAACTACACATTCTAGCTGTGAAATCTTCAAAAGCTGATTCACAACTTGTAAAATCATTATAATCTTCGTTTCTCAATTGTTGATGAGCTTCGTTTATGTCATTAACATTTACAGATATATTTTCAACATGTTCTGATAATAAATTTAATCTTCTTATTGTTTTATTTCTGAATTCTTTAATCTTTTCCAATTTCTTCCAAATTTCTTTCCTAAAAGAATTTTTCAAGAATAAATTAATTAACACGCATTTAAAATCGCTTAAAATTTTATTCAATTTTCGAAGATACACGTAAACATTGTTACTTTTCATTTTCCTTTTCAGCTGCTTTCAACATCGCTTTATCGTTAATATCTTCAAAACACTTTTTAATTTTAAATTTCAACTGAATAAAAATATTTACATGTTATATGCTGTAATCGATGATGCAATTAGAGAATACATATTACTCAAATTGCAATTGCTTATCATTACGGTAATAAATTATTATATTTTATATATAAAACATTTTATAAAATGCTACTAAATGATTTGAATTAGAATAGATACTAAATTGGATAACAAAATAGTATACATTTATTAATGTTTAATTTTGTTTTTGCTTGTTGACTATAAATATAAATCAATCTGAGATTTGCTGTTATTTCAGTAAACCATTTGAGATTCTATTATTGTTAGTTGTAGTTGATTGAATCAATTTAACTCTGTAAATAGATGTAGTAATTTAATTAAGTGAAAAATTTAAATAATCAATTTATTTTTACCCCTAATACATGAATTCTATTTTTTTGAATAAGTAGTGTGTGTGTGTGTGTGTGTATATATATATATATATACACTACTTATCCAAAAGATAATATAGTTAAAATAGTTAAAATATATATACAAAAATATATACAATATATAAAAAAGTTAAAATATATATACAAGTTT